GGGAGCCTATACGAGAGGATTCTGATTGGAAGCCTCTACATTAGGATTCCTATTGAGAGCGCTGTCAAACAAAAAAATAATGACACCCGTAGCAATCGGCTTCCTGTTGGAATCTGCTACAAAACGATTCCTAACGGGGGCCTTTACACGAGGATTATGGTTGGACGCCTCTACACAAATAATCTTATTGGGAGCGTTTACAAAATGATTCGAATAACACCCGTTGCAATCGGCTTCTCATTGGAAACTAGCACGCACAAAGGGTTCCTATTGGGAGCCTATACGAGAGGATTCTGATTGGAAGCCTCTACATTAGGATTCCTATTGAGAGCGCTGTCAAACAAAAAAATAATGACACCCGTAGCAATCGGCTTCCTGTTGGAATCTGCTACAAAACGATTCCTAACGGGGGCCTTTACACGAGGATTATGGTTGGACGCCTCTACACAAATAATCTTATTGGGAGCGTTTACAAAATGATTCGAATAACACCCGTTGCAATCGGCTTCCCATTGGAAACTAATGCAAAAAGGTTCTTATTGAGAGCCCATGCAAGATCCCATGGAAGCCTCTACAACAGGGTTTCTATTGAGAGCGTTTACAACATGATTATAATGACACCCGTTGCAATCGGCTTTCTCTTGGAAGCTAATGCACAAAAGGTTTCATATTGAGAGCCTATGCGAGAGGATTCTGATTGGAAGCCTCTACGCTAGGATTCCTATTGAGAGCGCTTACGAAACAAATGATTATAATGACACCCGTTACAATCGGCTTCCTATTGGAAACTAATGCAAAAAGGAACTAATACGAACTGAGAGCGCCGACAAGAGGATTCTGTTTGGAAGCCTCTACACTAGGATTCTTATTGAGAGCGTTTGCCAAAGGATTCCAATGACACGCGTTGCAATCGGCTTTGTATTGGAAACTAAGACATAAAAGGGTTCATATTGAGAGCATATACAAGAGGATTCTGATTGGAAGCCTCTATACTGGGATTCCGATTGAGAGCGTTTACAAAAAAAAAAAAAAAAAGATTCGAATGACTCCTCGCCGAAAACGCAGCTCCTTGCTCCCAAAGCGAAAAGAGGGCCCCCCCGCGGGGGCCCCATGGCAACATTCTGAATTTTCAGGCGCCGACGCTGGCGCCCAGGCGTCCAAGATGTTTGCAGATGTGTTTGTCAGTCTCAGTGGCGCATTGGCGCATGCACTAATCACCCAAATGTGGTCGATGGTACATGTAGTCTCCCTACGACGTGTCCAAGAGCCGACCGACATACAAGTTCGACGACTGAGCGCGATTACCAGGAAACTGCACGCATGCCCTAAGAAGATCGTCTACCAAGCGATGACTCCGACGGGCGAAGTCGACCTGCACAGCGACTCAGGTTCTCGACGCTTGAGTGGAAATGCCGACGACAAAGTCAAAGGCTATGGTATTCGCGGGGCAAAAACCTGCCACGGCGTGGAAACACGCCATCTGGCAAACCTGTCGTTCACTTGATCGATGCGTACTGCAAGTCTCACCGCCTGCAGGTCCGCTCGAGCTAGTCTGCAGAGACACCAGCAGCAGCCCACAACTTGGAGGACTGCGATCCCACGATCGTGACTCTGCACGAGCTCCATGCCGGCCCTTTTATTTCCCACTCATTTGAACACCATACTTGAGTTGGGTGGCCTGAGCATCAAGGTCATTTTGACCATAGATGCTGGGTCTGCTTGTAGTCCTTGTCAAGCAAAGACTTGAAGGAACCGACTGCGTGCACCCTTCTAGGACACATCAGTTGGATACGACAGATGATGGAGCGAGGAATTGTGCATAGTATTCAATGGTGTGACACCCGCGATATGGCCGCGGACGGTCACACAAAAGGGACAATTGACAGAGAAATGCTCCTACAGGTCATGGGAGGTACGCGATCCTTCAAACATGACTTAATGCGTCATGCTCCTTATCGTGTTGGCCAGACAGCTTGGTCTGCAGCCGCCTGAGGAGTACTCGTTTGCACAGTAAAGTGCAGGCAAGGCAACTTGCGCGCGGGTCCACCTTCCTTATGGCCCCGCCTTTTTTGTTGCCTCTTTGTACATAGTAGCTGTTGTACCTGCTGTATAGAGGCGGCGGACTCACGCTTCGTTTCTCTCCCCCCCCGACTTTAAAGTGAACAGGGGATACAGGTGTCTGGGAACGAGCGTGCGCCCGCGGCCGCTTGGCTCAAAGCGGCCGGCCACCCAGATCTGTTTGCACCTCAGCGCGATGTGTAGTATGCGCTATCGATCCCAACATTGCTTGAGACGGCCCGCCCCCAACTATTGGGATTATCGTTACTACGGTACAACAGAGCCGGAGCTGGGCTTCGCCCAAGGTGAAGTTGCTCGATGGGTTCCCCAACGAACTTCGCAGCCCCATGGTCGTCATGTGCACGACCGCCTGGAATAATGTTCTCGTGGGAAAGGTCGAGACGTTCCTGGCCGACGCCACGAACACATTGCAACGTCGGAGGAAAACGGAAAGGGGGGGTGGGGGCATTGGCGAAATGCGGGTCACTCAGAGGAGGAGCCATTCAGAAACCGATGCTTTCCGTTCGCCTTTGCTTCGTTGCACCTCCAGGGGGCCTTCCTCCTCCTCCTCCTCCTCCCTCGCCTCGTCTCCTCTTGCTCTCTTCAACCAGTGCAGCGTTTCAGCCTTTTCCGCTGGTGGCTGCTTGTGCTAGAGTTCCTGCCTACGCGCCAGGCGGCGTATGGTCTGTGAGTGAGTGGATGAGTGAATGAAGGTGGGCGTTCGTCGCCACGGGTGGCTTCCTCCACCCCGGAGTCCTGGTCAGGACGCCCCCTCCCCCCGGAAAGGTCCAGGGAATGGGGCATCGGCTCGCCATGAAGGAACGGGTTCTTGAGGCCAACGGGCCCCAGGCCTGGAGCCTGTCCCCGGGATTACTTTTTCATCCTGTGTATTTCCCGACCATTGTGTGGTGTCGTCGTTTTGAAGAGACAGCGCCCCGCGTCCTCCTCTCCTCTCCTCGCCTCCTCCCCCTCCTCCCTCCGCCATCACTCTCACCCCACCATCCCATCAGAAACAGCATCGATTTCGGCGCATTCCTCGCACGCTTCGTGGCCCCATAGGGAGCTCCGAAGGCTCTAGTGGCCGGGTTCGCATGGCACCGCCGCCTCTATTTCGGCACACCCCTCACACGGTTCGTGGCCCCATAGGGAGCTCCGCCGAAGGCCCTAGTGGCAGGGTTCGCATGGCACCGCCGCTTCCATCCCGGCATACCCCTCACTCGTTTTGTGGTCCCTTATGGAGTTCCGCCGAAGGCCCCAGAGGCAGGGTTCGCATGGCACACCCGTCACACGCTTCGTGCCCCCATATATAGCTCCGCCGAAGGCCCCAGAGGCAGGGATCGCATGGCGCCGCCGCCTCCATTTCGTCGCACCCCTTGCACGTTTCATGGGCCCATAGGAAGCCTCGCCGAAGGCCCCAATGGCAGGGTTCGCATGGCACCGCCGCCTCCATTTCGGCGCACCCTCACACGTTTCGAGGCCCCATAGGGAGCTCCGCCGAAGGCCCCAGTGGCAGGGTTCGCATGGCACCGCCGTTTTCATTTCGGCACACACCTCCCACGCCTCGTGGCCCCATAGGGAGCTCCGCCGAAGGCCCCAATGGCAGGGTTCGCATGGAACTGCTGCCTCCATTTCGGCGCACCCCTCACACGTTTCGTGGGCCCATAGGAAGCTCAGCCGAAGGCCCCAGTGGCAGGGTTCGTATGGCGCCGCCGCGCACCCCTTCACACTTTTCGTAGCCTCATAGGGAGCTCCGCCGGCGGCCTCAATGGCAGGGTTCGCATGGCATTGCTGCCTCCGTTTCGGCGCACCCCTCACACGTTTCGTGGGCCCATAGGAAGCTCAGCCGAAGGCATTCGCATGGCACCGCCGCCTCCATCTCGGCACACCCCATCATACGTTTCGAAACCCCATAGGGAGTTCCGCCGAAGGCCCCAGTGACAGGGTTCGCATGGCACCGCCGCCTCCATTTCGTCGCACCCCTCACACGTCTTGTGGCCCAATATAGAGACCAAGTGGCAGGTTTCGCATGGCACCGCCGCCTCCATGTCGGCGCACCCCTCACACGTTTCGAGGCCCCATAGGGAGTTCCGCCGAAGGCCCCAGTGGCAGGGTTCGCATGGCCCCGCTGTCTCCATTTCAGCACACCCCTCACATGTTTTGTGGCCCCATAGGGAGCCCCTGCCAAAGGCCTCAGTGGCAGGGTTCGAGTGGCACCGCCGCCTCCATTTCGGCGCACTTTTCGTGGCCCACAGGGAGCTCCACCGAGGGCGATCTTCACAACGGCAGTATAAACAGCGGCATATGGTTGGGTCCTTCGCCCGGATTTTTTGCTGGTCCATGGGCCCATGGAGGGCCAACGTTCTTCCAGGATCCACATCGCTCGTGCCAAAGAGGCATCCTGTTTGCTGCCCCAGGGAGAGTTTGGTCTCGTACGATTGCGGCGGGGACGGGGCGGCTTGCCCGCCTCTCCCACAGAGGATGCCTCCTGTTCTCCTCGTCTTCATCCTCATCCTCCTCCTCTCCTTCTCCTCCTCCTCCTCCTCCTCCTCTTCCTCCTCCAGGGTGTCCCAGGAGGCGGCGAATATCGATATCGTTGGGCCCCCCTGGGGCTTCAGAATATTCATATCCACCGTCTCCTGGGGTACTGGGATAAAGGATCTTCGAGCGGTGGATATGTGTAAATCCATGCTTTGCACCTCTGGGGACTGGACTCAGTGGGCACTGGGAGCGGGGACAGGACTCAGTGGGCACTGGGAGCGGCAAGGTGCGCACCTGTATGAATGTATGGTTCACCCGAATTTCGCAGAGTGTTGACGTTGTCTCGATAGATCTGTATAGTCTGGAGGTCTGTATAGTCAGGGAAGTGGGGCGCGTCTTTGAAGTATGTCGCCGCTGCTTACAGGGCGCGGGGTGGCAGTTCGGAGCGGCCTGGCCCACCCCAGGGCTTCTTCGACTTCATCGGCCGCGCGTACCAGAGTACAAGCATGATGGGCATGGGCGGCATGGG